TAAAATATAAAATAAAAAATAAGTAAAAAAATAAAACTAATAATATATTATAGTAATATAATATAATATAAATATTAATCTATATAGTGAGTGTTTTATGATGTATTGTACTAGAATATTCAGATAATAGTACTAATAATTAATATAATACATTAAATAAATAAATATTTCTGCTTTTATGAATTACTTAAGACACAAATATATATATATATATATACGTATATTTATGTATACTATATATAATATTTATGTTTTGAATAAATTGCTTTAAATAACCACAATAAATAATATAATACAAATATTTATATTAATAAATTGCTTAATAAAATAAAAAACAAATATTATTAAAATATAATTAAAATGTTAAACATTATTAAAATGCCTTAAACATACTCTAAATGGACGTCTTTGACCACTGTGCAGTGTCTCGCTCTTTTTGCAGCGTCTACCCATCAGTCTATGCAGCATTATGACACCAAAGTGTGGACTAATAAAGCACCACAAGGACTGAGGACGCCTTTGATTCAGGTCTTTTCTGGGGAAATGGCATCTAAGAAGCTGCTACAGCCTCGACGGCCTCTGAAAGCCAAAAACTGCGCGACCCGAGTGAGTTTAACTGGCTTGGGCATTTACAAGAGCCAAGAACACAGATCAGGAGTAACATACACCCGTCAAACATTCTGGCCATCGATACGACTCCATCCCTCGGAGAAACCATGTAAGGAGATTATGAAGACTTCTGAAGGCACAGATTTCATCGGGCCGAGCTCTTCACAGGTACACATGAACATATGTACTGGAGGACAACTAAAATGTTTAATTACAGACCCTTTAATTTATGATAAAAAACTAAGCCTGAATATCCCCAAAGAAAAGTCATTTAAGGAATAATTAGACTGTTACCCAAGATAACATGAACACAACTGGAAGCCAACTTTCTTTTCCAGCTTAGAGAGGAAAATAATTTGTATGTTTTGATTGAGCCTGATTGGATTTTGATTTAGAGAAAACACTGAGTTGAGTAGATAGACGTCTGAATGAAAGGATCCTGAAGACATATCAACAAGATGAATAGCAACAGAGCATCATGGGAGTTTTGGATGCTAGTTTAGGTCATACAATAGTGTTCAAAAGTAAAAAAAAAATTTTTTGAAATAAATTAACTAAAATTCAATTAAATTAATCAAAAGTGGCAGTAAAGACATTTATAATGTTACGTTCTATTTCAAATAAATGCTGTTCATTTAAACATTCATATGGATATGAAACAAAATAAAAGTAAGTGATAAGACATTTTATTTTTGGATAAATTATTTTATTCAACACATTAGCTCTCTTAAATCATCTTATAGTGTTATAATAATCAAAGTAGCCCTGAGCTAGATTAAGCGTTATTCTATGCAAACCAAACTATCACTTTAATGTAATATTATTTTTTTATTTATGTTTTGCATTCACTAATAAAAAGATTTTATCATTAGCTAGCTCACTGGACAGCTGCGTTATAGCAGAAAATCAAGTTGTAATTCTAACTGAAAGCAACACTCACACTGTTTTTTCATGTTTAATAGACCAATTTGGAGTAGACGTCACAGTTACGTCACTTGCAGCTGCGCGCGCTCCACAAAAACGTCATCAATGTTTGCAAACACTGAAATTGGTCTATATTGTAAAGCTGCTTGCTTTAAATCAATCTACTGTATAAAGCGCTATATAAATAAACATGACGTGACTGGAGTGCCGAATTGCAGAGCTGGTGCAAACTTATCCACACCGCTGTAATCAGATGCTTTCTTAACTGCTGTTTTCTCACCGCTCTCATTTTTGTTGTGTGTTTATTTCGTTATTGAGAGGAAAGCGCGCAGCACATATTTACATATTCATCTAAATGCCGCTCTAAGCAGCGTCTGGTTCGGCTGCAGTGACACTCCAACTCTCATAAGCGCCGTGTGTGTCGTCTTCTATTGTATTTGCATACAGGAGAGCTGAATTACAGTCTTGCGCTACAGCGCCACACTGGTCAAACGGCGTTACTGCAGGCCCTTGCATTGAGTCATATGAGATCAAACGACTATTTGACAACAAAAATAACAAAATGCCTGGATTTTGTTCACGAAATTTCACCAAGCAGCTGTAAATGTGACCGCACCTCAACCATTAACCAGAAATTGTTCAAAAACAGGAATGCGCTTCTCTTACCTCAAGTCTTTGTACGATCTCTCTAATGTCCTCTCCACAGTTGTCGTGCGCGGAAAGCATCACGCACTCGCCGCGTTCGTAGAAGATCTTGATGCTCATGACGCCGGACGACCAGCCGATGACGTCCCGACAGGAGCAGTTAAAAATCACGTTCTTGGACTCCACCTCGATCAGCACGATGAACTCGTTGGAAATCCCCAGCAGGCACTCCACGTCCGCCGACTGGCCGAAATCCCGCGCCACCATGCTCCACGTGATGGCGCCCACGCTGTGGAGATGAGCGTCCTTCCGCGGCTTCACCCGCTCCTTCTTTTTGGCCCCTAGCATGATGAAGCTGAATTTGACCGCAGAGTCCACCGTCGTCGTGCTCACGCAGTTCTCCGCGAGGTCCTTCAGGTACTCCTGCCGCGTGCGGGTCGCCATGGCGCGAAACTTCTCCGATTTGTGCGCCGCGTTTTCCCCATTGATCACCTTGGCCAGCAGGAAGTCCCTGAAGACGGCTGACTTGGGAAAGGTCACGCCTTTAGGAACGGGAGGACCGAACGGAGGCACGTCTTTCGATCTGGATACCGCAACACTGCAAGGGCCACAACGAGGGATTGAATGACCAGTTTAACTAATGCAAAACAATACGAGATGCACTTCACAGATCTGAAAACATATAAAAGAAATATTCTAATTCCGTGAAACAAAAAAAAAGAGAAATTTTGAAGAAAGTTCATGCAGATCTTTCACAAAGAAAGCAGCAGTGAACATGAACTGGCAAGCTCCAAAAATAACAAAACAAGCATCATAAAAGTAGTCCATATGATAGATTTTCAAACAGAGTTTCATGATAAACAGACTGAAATATAAGTCTTTATTCACTGGAAACACAAGTGAAACAATATTCAAACTTTCAGACTTTTATGCTGCACGTTCAGTCACGAAAAGCAACAGCATTTGCTGTCACCAATGAGACAGAAGAGCTACAACAGGGCCAGTGTTATTATAATATTATTTGTATACTATTATAGTATTTATTAAGCATTTCTTTATATATTTAGCTTTATTTTTATATTATTATTTGTATAATATTATATATATAATTTTTTTTTATTTTATATGCTTTTATAATTTTTAGCTTATTTATTTTATTAGCTAATTTATTTTTGCTTCAGTTTTCGTCAATTTAGGCAACATTTATAATTTTTTTTGCAACATTCCTAATTTTTTTTCCTAAGCTTTTTTTTTTCAGTTGTAGTTTTTCATCTAATATTTACATTTTATTTCAGCTTTTGTAATTTAGTTGTGCTTTTGTCATTTTTATTAGTTTTTATTTGTATTATATATTCTAAATTCTTTTATTCCTATATTCTAGTTTTATTATTCAACTTTTAAATTTCTTACCATTTTTATTTTAATGTAGCTGAGTGGTCATAAAAAGCAGTTCCCTGCATGTATGGGAAAAATAAAAAAATTAAATTTGATCTGATTAATTTTCAGTATTTCAGCTTAAACTTATTTCAGTTGCCAAGACGGGGGTTACAAGGTAATTTTTTTCATTATTTATTTATTTATTTTATTTTACTTTACATTCCGTTTCATTTTTCAGCTTAATTTCAATGACCAAAAATAATAATTTTTCATCGTTTTAGTTAACAATAACAACATGAGACATGGAGAGAAGGAGAGAAGATTATCAGTGAATACTGACTTAAAATTAGCTCTGTTCCTAACATAAAGCTACAGTATGACTTCAGAAGACTTAATATATATAGAGCAGGAGTCATATGGACTATTTGTATGGTACTTTTATGCGTTTTTGTCCATTTCTGGGCTTTTCAGCCACTGGTTACTGTAGGTTTCATTACATGGAAAAGAGCTGCACAAACCAGATTTCTCCATTTGAGTTCCACGGTTATTTGGAACGACATGAGGATGAGTAAATTATGACATAATTTAGTCTTTAATTGCAATAATTAAACGTCCCAAACAGCCTTTGGCACTGCTTTTAAACAGAAGATCAAAAACTACAGGCGATTTACAATTACAGGCAAGCCAAGCATTGACACATGATCGATTCCTGTAAGTTCTCCAGCATTTAAGCTTCATTAATATTTTTCTCTTCACAGTAACAGACATCAAAGGTAAATGAAATCACTTCATTTCTCTTAACAGCTATCATAGCGATCATAATTTACAGTGTAAATCAAAGGCGTCTGGTTCACTCACCTGTAGCAGACGTTCTCAGTGCACGGATTGTGAACTTTAACGATGACGAACACATGCTGGAAATGGGAGCGGATGTTTTTGGGTGTGAAGGGCAAGGCCCCGGGCTCCTGAAACACGATGGTGACGATGTCATTTCCTATGTGTCTCTTTCTGAGCAACTGGTGAGACGAGAAAGAACAGAGGTGAATGGACTCGGTGTGTGCCGTTTATTCAAAGGACAGGTCAAACAGCAGCTTTTGCTTCATTAGCAATAACAGGAACAGGAAGTGAGGCGACACTGTGTAGTAACAAATCCACCAGTTTCAAAGTGCCCTGAAAAAAGGTGACATAATACATTTCACTTCAGCTAAAATGTACTAAATGAAACTCTGATGACCGAAAAATAACCGAAAATGACATTTTCAATTCTCTTTTGTAAACAGGGCCCAAAATTAACACTTGCAGAGTGGAACATAATAATAATAATAATAATAATAATTTGATGTTGTTAAAATTAGTGAAAAAACTAACTCTAATAATAATAATAATAATTTTATGTTGCTAAAAAATAGTGAAAAATAAATTAACA